TTTCGGGAGGGAGGGAGGGACACATTAAATTAAGCAAAAGTGATAGTAAAGACATTTATAATGTTACAAAAAAAAAAACTGTTCTTTGAACTTTCTATTCATGAAAGAATCCTGTAAAAATATCTAGTTTCCATAAAACTATTAGGCACCACAACTGTTTTTAACACTGATAATAAAAGGAAATGTTTCCTGATCACCAAATCAGTATATTAGGGTGATTTCTGAAGGATCATGTGACACTGAAGTATGGAAGCCCGTTTCTACCAAAAGAAAAAAAAAAGGTAATTACGATGTTTTATCTAACAATTTGGATGGGCTTTCTAGTAATTCAAGTTTACATTTCACAACTCCTAGTTTATATGTCACAATTCAGTTTATTTTTATTTATCTATTTTTTATTTCTTTATTTCTCTGAATTCTCATAATTGCAAGAAAAATAATTGTGAGAAAAAAAAGTCAGAATCACCATTTATTTATTTATTTATTTCCCTGTTATAAAAACAAGCTTCCATAAGGATAGAGTAATGGCTGCTGAAAATAAATTTTTGTCAACATAGTATATAAAGTTAAATAAAAAAATAGTAATATACTTCTTTAAAAAAATATAAATAAAATATATATAAATAAAACTTACTGACCCCACACTTACCTGGTTCCATCGTGATTAATTAATATGTATTATATAAAAGAGGAGGTGAATCCTTGAATAAAAGCAAAGCAGACCTATTTGTATATGTAACATCGCATTCCTTTAACCAGCTTCTACAGCAATCCATAAACAAAGCAGCTAAGAATTAACATTCTGTAGCAGCCATCAATGATATACCAGTCGAAACTGCTATGACAGAAAAAGCTTTAACTATACCCCATTCAAATTCTATGTTGACTTTCTCAGCTCACTACAGAGATCATCCGACAGATAAAATAATCACTCTGCTGGGAAAGCGTAGTGAGCTTGTTGCTGTCTCTGAATGAATAGTGTGCCATGAAGTTCCTGTCTCATATTGATTAGCAGGTGAATGACTGAGCCAGTACAAACCTATTATTTCTATTATTTGTATGTCAGTTCTCTTTCCATCACAATCCGCTGAGGTTTTATGAGCTTTGGGAGTGTGTGCGAATGAGACAGCGAAACAAATGGAGAGACTAGTTGTTTTTTTAACATTATACTGTTTAATAAAAGCCAGCAAATAAACAATTACAAATCAACTTAAATAATGGATATTAAGAGCAGTGCAATACAAGACGATACTGAACCTTTGAAATATTATTTCATTAAAAAAAAACTATTTATGATTTTATGGTTATGCAAATGATAACAATAACTCAGTTTTCTCTCTCAACTGGTGTTCTATAATGGTAGGCTACCTGCTGCATTCAAATGTTAGTTTATAATACCAGTTTTTGGTAAACAACGACAGCAGGTTACAATATGTAAAGAGAAATATACACCGGTTATGTTTCTTTATTACAAATAAATTGCCTTATAAAGAATATTCCTAAAAAGAATGTCACTGTTACACTTTTGTCACAGATTATATATTTGCACCCTAAAAAAATAAATATACACATTTTGAACACAGTGTAAGTAGCAAAAGATCAATATGAGCTGCTATGAGAACTAGCATAAGACTGATTCTTGAGACATGGGACAAAACACAGAAAAAAATGGACATAAATAAATAAATAAATCAGATGATCTTCAAATAAATGTACCATTTCGTTTATTGTGCTTATATATATTTTTTTCATAACCTTGATATGTTAGCTTGGTCATACAAATTGCGAAGAAACAATATATAACATCCAAACTGAATTACAGGCAAGCAAATCCACAGCCAGTTTTGTCTCTGTACTCAAGAATCAGCGATAAATGATGGAAAATATATTTTAAAGTCGGCATAAAAGCCTACAGCAACATTTAGTCTATTTGGAGTTTGTTCTTTGATTCGAGTCCACTTTGAAGAGGTAAGAAGCAATTAATTGCACATTACAGTACAAAGCACTGATTAAAAATCGACTCTTTTAATGAACATTCACACACACACACACACACATTTCCATACATGCATACACCAAAAAAACAAAACAAAAAAACACATAATCTGACAGAAGTATAGACAGAGATAAGAAGAAAGGGAGTGAGCACAGGTGGACCTCTACGTACAGACTCTATTTTGCTGGGAAGTTGAGGAGAGATCACAGCAGAGTTGAAACAGAGATCTCTGAAAGAATAACAGAAAAAGGTCAAAGGTCACAAAGCATGTCAACATTAAGGACACAATTCTGATAATAGATATTCTATAGAAAAGGTCTGCATACTTGAATGCAAAAAAAATTAAAATAAAATAACAGTGCTTTAATGCATTACACAATTAATTTGAAAAAATATATATTTTATGCTCACCAAGGCTGCATTTATTGATAAAAAATAAAATAAAATAACATCACTTTAATGCATTACACAATTCATTTGAAAAAATATTTTATGCTCACCAAGGCTGCATTTATTGATAAAAAAGTACAGTAAAACAGTAATATTGCAAAATATTATTACAATTTAAAATATCTATTTTACATTTTAATCTATTTTTTAATGTAATTTATTCCAGTGATGGAAAAGCTGAATTTTTAGCAGCCATTACTCAAGTAAAACAAGTAAGTTACATTTAATATTATTATAATGATGATGATGATGATGATGATTATTATTATTATGTTGTTGTGCTACTTAATATTTTTGTGGAAACCATAAAGCATTTTAGGATTCATTGATGAGTAGAAGGAAATGACATGAGAGGGGAGCTAGAGAGCCTCCAAAACAACTCGCAAGCTTATGAGACAGAGTTGAAGTGATGAGGAATCTCCTCAACATAAGCACATAAACTGGCAAACCAGAGCTATAGCTCAAGACGAGGGTGCAATAGGGCCAAGGCTCCCGAGGTAAAAGGGCCGTCTGTCGCTATGCACTGCAAATCTGTCCTAAGTCATAAGGTCATCGCGTGCAATGAGCAAAAGACTGAATTTTAGGTAATTTGATCTAAAATTGAATACATTAAATGTTGCATATGTACTGTATGTACTTAAGTAATCTTTAAATATAAAAAAAATGAACGTTTGATCATTTTCTCAACAATGGATCCTCTGCAGTAAATGGGTGCCATCAAAATGAGAGACCAAACAGCTGATAAAAACATCAAAATAATCCACAAGTAAACCACATGACTCCAGTGCATCAATTAATGTCAGCAAAAAGCTGCATAATTATTAAGAAAACAAACCCATCATTAAGGCATTTTAACTTTAATCAATCGCTTCTGGCCAAAATACGAGTCCATAATCCATAATTGAGTTCCACCAGTAAAAAGGTTTTTCCCCTGTTGCCCTCTCACTACAAAATCCACCAACTTATTTGTTTAGAACTGTTTTAGACTTGTCTTCCCTTGTAAATGGTGCTTGATCTGTGCATATTTCTCTCCTTATTCAGGCAAGATGAATTTTTCACTCGAGAATGTAATATTGTGTATAGAGCACTTGGAATTTACTGTAGCTGGAAGCAAAGGTTTGAAGTAAAAAAAAAACAAAAAAACATCTTGATACAAACATGCAGTTTCTCACTTCACAAGATGAACTGGAGTGGTGTGGATTACTCGTGGATTATTGTGATGTTCTGATCAGCTGTTTGGACTCTCCTTCTGACGGCACCCATTCACTGCAGTGGATCTGTCTGTCTGTCTGTCTGTCTGTCTGTCTTATTTATCTAAAAATTTGTTCAAACTAATTTTGGATCAGAGAGTGGATCAGGGAGTGAAGGAGTGAATGTTTAGTTTCCAAAAAGCATCCCAAGATGCACCTCATGTATTTTTTTGAGAGAAGACTCAAGTGGCTACTCGCATATATTGTAACTACTAAAAGTTACAATATACACGAGCAGTAGAAAAGGGACATGGGATAAATGGAAAGAAGATGGGGAAGGATACCAGCAAATGTTGCATGCCAATCTCAATCGCTTTATCTCCATAAGCATGACAGTTCAATCAGAACATATGCGCAACTGCAAGTCCACAGCTCTAACATGAATTTAAGCAAGCAGCAGACGAAGAAAGCTGTTGGGAATGTCAAAAGCTTCATATGACCGGTTTAACTCCAGACCAGGATAAAAAGGGTTTTCTGCTCTATTCTTACCAATCCAAGACTTCTAAGATTTAGTAGTTAGATGCTGTTTGAGGCAGATCAATATGGACAGATGGGCCCCTGCACTCCAAAAGCATCCGTCTCACCCCATTTCCAGTCCACATCCAGATGCCTTTTCCCGATAGCTCATATCAATCAAAGCCAAGCACTCTTCACAGCCAAAGTATTGATTGTCAGAGAGTGAATTAAATGGTACCTCCGCACCTCAAACAGATGCAGAGCGAGTGCTCTGTATGAGTTGAAGGCAGAGAGCTGTTTGAAACTTCACAGTCCAGCTGCCCGCATACAAGGTAAAAACATTTTTGGACACCAGAATGGAGTCTACTCACTAAGTGCATAAGCTTTTACACCTCCAACAGTGAATAGACAAGCTATCTGAGAGCCATTCGAACATCTTCCTGTCAACCTGCCCACTTGCCCTGTTGAAAAATATGTTTTCCCCATTCCTAAAAGCACACACAGAGCATGAGTCACACTAGTTGTTGTAGATGGGGCAAGTAAAAGACTGTCAAATCAGAAACAGAAAACAAGATGCTTATTTTTCTTTAAATAATAATTAATGGGATTCTTTAATAATTCAGTGAAAATGTTAAAAACAATACTATATGAATATTATTAGAATTAAAAAGAACTGTTTACTTTTTAAATATATTTAAAAAATATGATTTATTCTTGTGACGGCAAAGCTGAATTTTCAGCCGCCATTACTCTAGTTATTAATATGCTGAAAACAGATTTCTCTGTTTAATATTTTGCAGAAATTATGATATACACTTCAAAAGGTTTGGGTTAAATATGATTAAGTAAATAAATAAATACATTTTAATGCTTACTTGCTTTTATTCAGCAAGGACACAATAAGTTAACCAAAAGTGATAGTAAAGACTTAACGAATAAATGCTGTTCTTTTGAAATTTCTTTTCATCAAGAATTCTAAAAAAAAAAAAATCATGGTTTCAAAAAAATATAAAGCACCAAAATCATTTTCAACACTGATAGCAATAAGAACCATTATTATTATTTGAGCACCAAAAAATAATTGATAATAATTGAGCACCAAATCAATATTCTACAGGATCATGTGACATTATTAAAATGATATCTACATGATCATGTGACACTGCAGACTGGAGTGATTATGCTGAAAATTCAGCATTGTACTATTAGTTGGCAATATTGCTGTTTTTCCATAATTTTTTTATCAATTAAATGCAGCCTTAATGAGCATAAGAGATTTTATTCAAAACATTATAAAATATTAATTATTCCAAACTTTTTTTCTCTTTGCAATGTACATATACTGTATTCTGATTTGTGTTTTTCCTCTAATAATATATTGCATGGTGCATGTTACATTCACATCTAAAAATGTGACAACTTCAGTGTGCATCATTCTAAAGGGAATGACAACTGTATCAAATTCTTTTCTAGTCTTTCCCTGCGGTCCCCGTGGATTCGACGACTCTGCATTGATCTTTTGACTATTATGACACTTTTAAGTCCTCAGTCTTTTTAATGGTGGCGTCTAGCACATTAAGTTGACCAATCAGCTTTAAGTAATCTCAGCTCTTCCTGGAGACGCCAGCTGAAGCTGGGAGGGGGCCGTCTCATTGTGACGCCTCGAGAAGCATATCCAAAAAAAAAAAAAAAAAAAAAAAGTGTGATTTCTGTCATCCTCCGTTTCAGAGAGATGTCCTCTCTATCTCTCTGTTTCCTTCTATAAGCTACTAACATTTAGGTTTGGGACTCTGCAAACTTATAATACCTCCGCCGCACATCTGTTTCTCACATGGGAGCTTCAGCGCCTGTCTCTCACCCGGAGAGTTTGTCGGTAATCCCCACGAGTAAAGTTCAGAGTGAGCTGACAGCACTAAAAAATAGATAAATAAGGATTTTCATTTTTTACCCTGTAATGGAAAATTGCACATAACATTTCTCACTCAGCATTTATCCTTAATAGCGACTGCAAATCCATATCGCCTAATTTCACAAAATCACTTCATTGCAGAGAAAAGAGCATTTTTTGCAGGTAGGAAACAGTTTGTTAAAGCTTTTCTTATACTCCTTTCTTTCTCCTTTTTCCACTCATGACAGAGCAATCGATATAAAACATTTTATATGCACTTTAAATAACAGCTTCTATCAAATTGCTTTTTTTTTTCTTTTTTCTAGAAAATCACTGTCATATTTCACTCAGCTTTGGCTGATTTTAAAGAAACCCATAGAGGCGACAAAAGGTGGAAAGTACAGCAAAAATGAGCCAACGGAGTATCAGCAAACCTCATCACAAGTGAACTCAGAAACTTCTATCAGTCAGTGGAGAAAGTGAGTAATGTCTTGCATTAAGTTTGTTGTTTATACTTGGCCGGAAGCAGTGAAATAACCCTATTAAATCAAGTAGTCGCCCTGCCATTAATCTCAATGCAGCTGACTAGTTCCTCAAAGCTAATGGGGTTTAGAATTTGCATCAGGCAAGTTTACCCACAAAGCTTTGCCTAAGAGGATTTTAGTCCATACAGAAGGCTTATTGTCACACTTGTTCATGGACGTGGATTAAATATGCTAGGACTAGCGCACTGTGCTAACTCCAAACTGCCTTTCGTTTCTGACGGCTGCTTCTGGCTAGCAAGTAGAAAATGACCTTCACTAATGTGCTGGTAGTTTTGGGGCGGTTAAAGATCAGGGGACGGTCGCAACGAAGCCCTTAAGCTGAGAAAACCCTATTATTATCACTAAAGATTTTCTTAACCTAAGGAGTCTGTTGCAACTGGCTGCAGGCTAATCGAGTTGCTGAGTTTTCTATTGCCATTCTGCCCTTGAGAAAAGCATTTAACCCCAAGCTGTTCGGTTGGAAACTATTCCTTCAGCAAGTGTACTATAGATTGCTTTAGATTAAAAAAAGAAGAAAAAAAGGTGCAATTCTAATCAAAACAACATTGACTACTCATCCACTGAAGAAAGAAAAAAAACATAGTAAATACAACAACGATTATTGGAGCTAATTCACAAGAAAATACTATTAAAATACATA